GCGGTATGACATCAACACTGAATGGCCTGAAAGAATCATTATACCTCTCCAATTTCCTTATGGGCAGATTTCTTACTCTTATTTAAAGAAAATAGTTTTAAACATAGAATAATATTATATAATTTATGTTTATGATAATTATTATTTTATTTGTAAGTATTGTTAGGTACATATGATTGTATTTGATATAATTATGGTGTCGTAATCGCCGAATACTAGTGTCAAATTGTTGTAGGTTTGTGGTGAGTAGTCATTTCGCAGAATGAAATCGACCAATGAAACGGCAATTTTTAAAGAGTTTTGTAGCTGTGCATAATACGCGCCCCTAATTTTGCTTATTATTTAAAAAATATGTGTATTATCCATGTGGAATTTATATATATATATATATATATATATATATATATATATATATATATATATATATATATAAAAGTGAACATAGAAGTCAACACTTAGAGGCGGCAGTCTGTTTCATACTATATGCAATCGTCAGGCCACATATGCTGTTATTTTTCTCGGCTATTTATATATATACGGGTTAGTGGTGCATTATGGGTATTCTATTATGGCGGTTATTTTTTACCGGAAGTCGCTTTGTTTATTTATTTGGGTCAAATTATATTGCTCGTTTTTATTTTTTTTGTTTCTTATTTTATATATTTATTTCGTAACGTAGTAAAATTTGTTTATATCACGTATTTAACAGTTTTGTTTTGGTTTGAGAATTTAATTCAAGCTATTTGTTCAATTTTGGGGTTGGTTGTTGTAGTTCATTCTAACTATTATTTTTTTTTTGGCGGGGAACAGTTTTTAATTTGGGATTGGTTTGTCTATTTACTTGGATGAATTTAGGTCAATTTATTTGTATATTTTTCTTTTCGGTTTTCGGTTTTTTAAGCAATATAGTATTTATTTATTTATTTTATTTTATTTTATTTTTATTAGTGTATTTGTTTTCGTTTTTTCCGTTTTTCGTTTTTTAGGTTACGTAGTAAAAATTTATTTTCATGCCTGCATTTTGAGTAATTTATTGTGTGTAGGAGGGCTTAGTTTGTATAAATTTCTCGTTTTGTCAGCAGCGATAAATACACTTGCTGAATTGTTTATTTTAGTTATATCTGCTTTTAGTTTTTTTTGCAATGCATCTTGTTTTTTATGGAATTTTATGTTTCTAACTAGGTCAGTTAAGTCTTTCTCGAAATCGTGCAACTGCAGAATAAAGAACGAATGTCCCTTAAACGGAAATTGTTTACAAAACAACGTAATATACCAAGCTACGATAAAATCACCAGATAATGAAGAAAAAAGTATACATAGGAGTAACTGAAGGACCCTGGAAGCAAAGAAATTATACACACAAAACATCGTTCACAAATAGTAAATATGCGAACAGTACTATGCTTTTCTAAGTATATCTGGGAAATAAAAAAACAAAACGCACATCACACCAAAATATCTTGGAAGATAAAGAAAAAGTCATCAGCCTACAACAACCAATCAAAAACTTGCAAACTTTGCTTGGAGAAAAAAATAGCTATCATTACTTTCCCCGATCAAAATAAATTATTAAATAAAAGATCCGAGCTCATCTCAAAATGCAGGCATGAAAATAAATTTTTACTACGTAACCTAAAAATGAAAAACGGAAAAACGAAAACAAATACACTAATAAAAAATAAAATAAAATAAAATAAATAAATAAATACTATATTGCTTAAAAACCGAAAACCGAAAGAAAAATATACAAATAAATTGACCTAAATTCATCCAAGTAAATAGACAAACCAATCCCAAATTAAAAACTGTTCCCATAAAAAAAAAATAATAGTTAGAATGAACTACAACAACCAACCCCAAAATTGAACAAATAGCTTGAATTAAATTCTCAAACCAAAACAAAACTGTTAAATACGTGATATAAACAAATTTTTACTACGTTACGAAATAAATATATAAAATAAGAAACAAAAAATAAAAACGAGCAATATAATTTGACCCAAATAAATAAACAAAAGCGACTTCCGGTAAAAAATAACCGCCATAATAGAATACCCACAATGCACCACTAACCCGTATATATATATAAATAGCCGAGAAAAATAACAGCATATGTGGCCTGACGATTGCATATAGCATGAAACAGACTGTCGCCTCTAAGTGTTGACTTCTATGTTCACTTTTATATTTACACACGCTCTATCTCTGATATTGAGCACTTTACCTCATAAATATAGCACACCTTAAGACTATATTTCTTTATATATATATATATATATATATAGGACGAAGTGGAAAAAAGTTTAATTGTGACGCGTCACAAGTAAACATTTTCCATTTTGTTATACAGTTTCATCAATATTGTTTTTGATATATGAAAATATATATCGTTATCTCATACATACATATATATATATATATATATATATATATATATATATATATATATATACGTGTGTGTGCGTGTGTGTGTTTAATGCTGATTTGTCTATTGTTCAGTTGATTGTCTAAACCTACTATGACTAAAATCCCAAGAAGAAAAAAATACAAAGATGATACAGACCAACGTGGGAATCTATCCACGAAGAATGGCTGTCTTAAATAATTAAGAATAAATAAGCAAGAGGAAATTAGAGAAAATTGTGTGTGTATGTGTAATTGGGCGCTTATGACCATATCATTTTGAACCACCGGTTCCTGTACGATCACCGATGATAAGTAACGTCGTTACTACCCAGATACTACCCAAAATGAGAACTCGGAGAACTGAGTTCGAATTCCGGTCGATTTCGTAACACTCATTAACGCGCAAATACCGTTGGGTGATGATGTTAACGAAAAGGGGACAATGATCACCCAAGCGTGTCACATCCGCCCCCCATCTACCAGCAGCCATTGGGTGAAACCGTAGAAAGTCTAGATAAATAGCAAATGAAATTCGGTTAAAATAATTACTATTAAGCAAATAATGACTTTTTAGGTATATTTTTTATGACAAATACTTCTAATACTACCGGTTACTTAACCAGCTAGTTAATTAATTGCAAATATAGTAAATGATTAACTATATACTAACACTCCTTTGAAAAATTATAATTATTTATAATAATAATGATAATTTATCTAATTTAAATTGTTCATTATCCTCAACTGCAATCCATTTTTTTTTGTTTTCTCCCTTTTTTCATGTTTAACTTTTACACTTAATGATTATTTATTATATTTCATTGTTGCATTATTTTCTTCTTTTTTCTTCGCCTCTCCTTGTTGATGAAAAATATGGCGGATGGTTTTAACACGAACATTCAACATTTGTCATTGCTGAAAACATTTGCCGCTACGAATCAATATTTATTCCTCTCGTCTCTTTTCTTTTGTTGATTTACATGTGACCATTAACGTTAGACGCACACGTAAAAAGAAAGACCAAATCGCTTCTTTTTTCAGATTTTATCGACGTCCTGCGTGTTTATATCAAGTCTAACGATTTTAATCATGATTATCTTTTTCTTTTTTTCTTTTTTTTTTGGCCTTATTAACTCTATGGGTGTCTTTCTTTCGTCTTACTTATTTATTTTTGGCTGCAGAAGAAAATCTTTCGCGAGAACTGAAAATTATTTTTCTACTTTTTTTTCTTTCGAAAAATATATTTTTGGGACACTAAAAAAAAATGAGTAAAATTTTTGTATAATTTAAAGAAAAATTTTCGTCTTTTCGTTCATTCATTTCTATTCTTGTTCGGATTTTATTTGTATAGTAATGTTTTATTGGAGTAAAAAAAGAAAATCGAAATTCGACATATGCAATTACTCTTCTTTTTTTTCTGAAATGATTTTGTTTTGTTTCTCAAAATAAATAACTGCTTCATTTTTAAATATGAAGTAGAGTGTTTCGGTTCAACTGTTTTTTCTTGATAACAAAAATTATAAAGGAAACGATATTGAAATAACAAAGAAAAACATTTTTTTGAAAAGAAGCGTTTCGAACCCGCTGTGATTACCAAATATCGAAATCATATCAAACTGAAATTAAAACCTGAAAAAATACGCTTCAAAAATTTCTTGTCAACAGTTGTAGTGGTTATTAATGTTGGTTAATTATTATTTTCACTAATTATATTCAAACAATTATCCTCATTATTTTTGTTTCAATCACAACCTTTCGATCGTTGTGTCTTTCGGTCTTCATCAGGTGTATGTCGATCCGGATAACCGACGGGGAATTCTGAACTGAACCTTTTATTTAATCTACAGAGTTAGACTGTGCTCGTTCCATTGACCATGTCTTGGTCTCTTCCCTCTAGTTCTTAATTTTCGTTCAGCTCAGTTATTTCTCGCCCTGATTCCACTGAGTGCAAGTACACACTCGCAATTATTATGTCACTAAATTCAGGAACCAACGTTTAATCTACTAGGCTATTGTATCTATGGAGGACGTGGAGCCTTAAACTTAACTTGCTTGCCTGCTGAATAGTACCGCTGCTGCTGTTTGTCATGCTTGACTGCATTCACTGAATCTTTTCCTAATTTTTTTTTTTTTTTTTTTCTACACCTGCTGGTTAATCAAGTCTTACTGTTATCTCATGGTCGTGAATTCAGTCCCTGGATCGGGTAGCGAAATTATACACGTTGGTTTATCAAGGAAAAATACGAAAAGGCATCAGTAGTAGAAACTAACGCCGTCATCATCACAACAAAATCTGATGATGGCCAAATGTTATCTGGCCGAAACGTCATCATGACAATGTTTTTTTTTTCATATTATGTTTACATCGTCTGTTACAATAGCTTCTACCAGAGATAGCACCTAAAAATACGTGATTACAGCTACTGAAAAAGTTTTCTGTAATGTCAACGAATGCGCGGTATTATGTTTATATGTTTGCGAAAAGATTTTGAATACAATTATAATCCGTTTCTCTTAGTGTTATGGTTTGAATAGCAGTTTCCATACAGGAAACATTCGATACATACTGAACGAACTGTTAGCGTTAGTCTAACACTGAGGTATCCACTGGTTTATGAAAAGAAAGAAAGAAAGAAAGAAAGAAAGAAAGAAAGAAAGAAAGAAAGAGTCTACTAACTGGATGGCAATTGTTGAAATTCGCAGGAAGATGTCTTGAAACGTTTAGAATAAAATTAAAAACGAAATGCGTTGAAAAATCATGATTTCAAATAATTCCAAGTTATTCAGTTAACTCGACAGAATTCAGTAATACTGAGTAAAACCAAGACTACCTGTCCTTCCCCACTTCCCGCCGATAAGAAAGAAACCATTAAGCTATCCACAAAGATGCCAGATAAAATAAAAACATATATAGTCGATAAAGAGACTAGAATGGTCGCCGAAATAACATTTCCGATTTTTTGGACAAAAGGGGCAGGAAAAACAGCTGTTTTGAATCAGCCACATAGAAGAGAATGTCCTCACAGAGATGCGTCCGTCATTATAATTTCTTATAATTCGTCGGAAGAAAACTTTTATATCCAAAAATTAATTTGGATTCCTTTGGATACAAGTGATGAGAAATTAATTAATTACGATTTTAAAATCACCATTAACAAAAAAAGGCTGTGTGGTCTGTTGAGCGTAAAAATTCATAGAAAAAAAAAGATAAAATTTCTTTTTAAGGAGAGATGTAATAATTTTTCTTTCCGTTTCCAATTCTTGAGTTGTCTTGTCGATTGAGAAATGACAGTATGGGATAAGTTGATAAAGAAAGATTAATGACTGAAAATCCCTTTTGTTTTAGCTACATCATCTGGAAGTTAGATTCGTCACACCAGCCCTAGCAGCAGGCTGAGATCAACAGGCTGAGATCAGCTGCTGAGAAAGTGGAAGAGAAAGAAGAGAGACATTAGTACTGTCTATATAGGATTAAGGTGCGAGGTAAGATAGGAACGATGTTGGAGATAAGGAGCAGCCTTATTTCTCTGACCACACTCAAAAGGAGACTGGATAACTCCAAATTTAGAAAGCGACTAGTGTAAATGTATTTTTATATAATGAAATTTAAAAAAAGCCGAAGGTTTGGACAACGTAGAGAGACCCCAGACTAGTGTCACTGGAATCCACGTCATTCGCCGAGACTTCCTGACCAATACCTTGTGCCGGACCTGAAGACCAGAACTTAGAAATTCAAGTGACTACTAAAACAAGCTGCAGACTCCAAAGGTCATTTGATTTTAACAACCAATGGGAAGGGTTAAAACTGCTGTATACAACAAATCATATATAAACGAAATTGTTGTTACATTTTTAACCCGAGTTATTACTTCATTCCAAACTGATTCCTTTTTGGCAGCTCAGAGTTGTCGAACCGCCTTCACTTCAGTTTGTTTCATCAGCCTCTGAGATAAAAGAAAAACGCAATATGGCAGAAGAGTGAATAGTCGGGAACAAACAAACGCCAGCTAAGTCAAGTAGAACCGTGTCTACAATCACGATATCAGCTACAACGAATCACGCACTAACGTGTGAAAAGTCAGCTAAATGGTAATAACGGTGGTCTAAAGGAACTTGAAAACCAACGAGGAACATAGAGCTACATTATTAGTGGCCGTTACTGAGGATCGACTAGTGGGTTGCATATTTAGCTACCGTTGTCTAGGGCTGACAGAGGCTTACATTAGTCCGGGTTGCTAGACAATTTCCTCACAGAAAATGAGAAAACTTAATGCAACAGAGACGTGGTTCTACAGAAGGATACTGAGAATACCATGAACAGAGTATATGAGCACCAAGGAAATTTTGAGGAAAACAGAAACAGAGAAAAAAGATTATTATACGTTGAATCAGAAACGGAGTTGAAATTTCTATAAGCTGATGATGTATGAGGGTTTGTAGAATTTGATACCCACAATGCACATTCAAATAAAAGGGGAAAAACGTAAATAGTGATTAACGTACCTAACAAGCTAGTGTGAATGGATGCCAGAATAGAGATCATCAAAGATAATAAGTAGAATTACAAAGGATAGGATATTGTGGCGAGAAATGATCAGCCAGATCCTGAGTGGACACAACATATAAGAATAACAGAAGTCAAATCTCAAAAAAGTCACCTTTACATCATAGCATTACGAAAGTTAACATAATGCAGACTTTAAATGCAGGGTTCATTTTCTACGGCTTATCAATCTTATTTAAAGTTATTTATTTTTTTTAGATAATAATGATTTTTGATACAAGTCTTACTAATTAACATATAGATGGGGGAGAAGAGGTGGATTCATATCTTTCCGAATGGTATTTGCGCGTAATTGAATATAACGAACACAACTGGAACTCAGCTCTCCGATTAACAATTTTGAGCCATAACCAATTACATCATCCACACATCCAAGCATACCGCGTCTGGTATTTCCGAATGGCTATCCATTAAGTTACTGAGCAGGCACGGCGTTGCTTAACTTCGGCGACCGTACAGGAAACTTGTACTACATATTTGTTTGAGAATCAATTTAAACGTAAAACAAACATCATCTGAATTATTCGTTTCAGATACGACATATTGTGAGCTTACAATAACTTATTAAAAAAAAATATTTGTTTCGTGGTCCAATGACACGTTTTTCGCCAGATTTGCATTCAACCTTCTCCCCCCCACTCGTAGTCTGGCGGCTTGCTAAAGAAAAATGATCGCCATTTGCTCTGCTTAGTTAAGTGTCATACGTGATACACTGTTGGGCAATCACGTGCCCTTCGATTCATGACTGACTAGGCAGAAGATTTTCCTGCAGTAGGTTGCCATTTTCTTTCTGCAATAGGCTTGTTGCTAACCATCGCTATAGGAACCAGTCTATCCTTCTATTCAACTCATAAATGTCGGAAGAAGAGATGGATTCATATCTTTTTCAAAATTATTTGTAATGTAAAGAACTCGACTGGAATTCGAACTCTGTTCTCCGATTCCTCATTACTTGTCGTTATCCATTAGACCACCACGCATAATTTGAAAGGGAGGAAATGATTTGTTCGAGAATATAATCACTCTAGTTGTCTTCACGGCTGACTAAGTACTTTGATCTTGTGCCAGACTTAGGTACACAGGGAGTGAAAATATACAGGTTGTCCCAAAAGTTCCAAAACAACTTTATTGCTGAAAGAAAAAAAATAGACTACAAGGGTTAGTAATGTTAACGGCTTTTTATCAAAATGATCCTTTACGAGAAAAATTTCAATGCTTTTACGTCTATTTTTGTTCCAATTCTTGCATGGTGACTAGTTTTGTGCTAAAGATTATATACTTTAAGGATCCTCACAGAGAAAGAAATCTGGCGGTTTTGTCAGCCATTTTATAGCGCCAAATCGAGCGAGGGACGTCGATATGAGCTTTGAAACGTCTCTTATAAATGACTCAATACTTTTGAGATACAAAATCACCATTCTGAATTTTCGTCAGTGAATCCCTATTTTGGGGAAGTGGGTCGGGCCTGGAACTTTTCAGCACACCCTTCAGATAGGAATGAGATAGGTGCGTCTGTTACATCGGTGACCGGACTCGATCTGCAAGCCAGGATTCGAAACCATGAATGTCCAAAAATTTATTGACTCTCACTCTGAGAATTTGACGCCAAACAAAATTCAGTTCATTATTTCTTTGGCTTTATACCATATTATTGTTTCTTCTTTTTTATCCGCAAAAGATAGCAAAGTGAATTGAAGTTTTCTAAATCTCATTTAGAAAAATATTGCTTTTTTTTAGCTTTGTAAAAATGTTGATTTTTTAAATTATTTCTGTTGCATTCAGCGTCGAAAGCGGACTGAGGTAAAAAAAAAAATCATATTGAACAGAGCTACTGCTTTTCACAGAATATTTAATTGGCTAAACTTTTTTTAAATTTGTTATTTCTATCGAAGTAGTTTTCCCTTTCTTTTAATGATTCTATTAAAGTTTTCTTTTATGATATTGCTTTTATCAAAGGTTTTATCTTAATTTCACCGTCTCTTTCTTTTATTGTTTTATTCAAGTTTTTTTTTTTTTTTTTTTTTTTTAGTTTTAATCTTTTATTGTTTTAGCCAAGTTTTTCTTTTATTTTGGTAATATTTCATTTTCTGTTTTATTATTCTTCGATTCAAATTTTGCTTCATTGTTTTTATGGAAGTTTTTTTCTTTTCACTTTTTATTATTTCAATCCAAGGATTCCTTTTCTTGCTTATCTGAATATATACATATCACCCGAACCCTTGATTTTTAGGTGTGGTAAAGTGTAGAAAATTGAGTTACGTCAATATTCGGAATAGAATATCCTAATCACCGTGGAAATCAGCGTTGGAAATTAATTACCTTATATTGGTGTCATTTTGAATTATGTATATTTTTAAAATGTATTTCCCGAGATTTTGAAAATCCTTTCTTCAAGGTCAGACCGTAATTATTATTGAAATGCTTGTAGCGATAACCACGGTATTATTTCTCCTTTTCAATTTGTTCCAATTATCCTACAAAGTAAAGGGAACATGCTGATGAACAAAAATCTTTTTTTACTAACCTACGTTGGAAACGACTTTTTCTAAGACATGGGAAAAGGAATATCATTTATAGGCCCGTAAGTGGCTAAACAAAGTCATACTTGTTTTATGAATAAAAAAAAATTACAAACATTATATTAATTTGATATCGTGGGAATAGGTGGAAATAAAATAATAAGCCTAGTCTGAAATTTAGCAAAAGAGTATATCTCTCTGCTATATATATATATATATATATATATATATATATATATATATATATATATATATATATATATATATATGACAGAATATAGTTTTTAAGGTGTACTATATCTATGAGATAAAGTACACAACATTAGAGACAGAGCGTATGTAAATATAAAGAGAACATTGAAGTCAACGCGCTCAGAGGCGGCAGGTTGTGTCATGCTCGACGCAATCGTCGTGTAGCATGAAACAGCCTGTCACCTCTGAGTGTTGACTTCAATTTTCATTTTATATATATATATATATATATATATATATATATATATGTATATGCAGCATATCTTCATTCAAGCATGTATGGTTGAATAATATGGACATATTTCTTGTAAATCCCCATGAAACACGCTCTGGTATAATTATTTGAAAAACGCATGAAGGCGCTGTTATAATTGATTTAAAACTTAACTGTTAAAGCCATTATGTTTTATCATATTTTGATCTAAGGGAGGTAACTTTAGTTTATGTAATTATAATATTATAAGATTTATAATTTTAGTATTTAAAAAACATTGCTATTATAGACATTGTTGCTATACTCATAACTAACCTTATTTAATCTTGTTTGTATATTCATTATATAGAGGGCCTCACTTATTTGAATTTTTTCGTTTTTTATTTCATGGTGAAGTATACGTGTATTATCGATTAATATTTTTCTGAACTGTGAATGTGAACAGGAATGTGTCTTAGCATTTTGCCCCTAAAGATGATTTCAGATGAGATTGAAAGTACCTAGGAAAATAAAAGAAAAAAAAAACACTATGGCGTCTTCCTTAATGAACTTAGTATTAACATTAAGAAGTCAATCAGAGAATTCGAATGGATTAAAATAAAACTAGAAATAATATGTCTCCCGATTATTTAACCAAATATGCTTAAATATATATATATATATATATATATATATATATATATGTGTGTGTGTGTGTGTGTGTGTGTGTGTGTGGGTGGGTGGGTTTGTGTGTGCGTGTCTAAAGGCAAGTGAAAGCTAAAAGTACTCCAACAATCGACAATTTACATTTAAACTTTTGCCAGAAACAAAAAATTATGGTTGGAAATTTAGAAACAGTAAACAATTTTTAACGAATTTTCATTGGTCGCTAAGAAAATTTGTATAATGGAAAAAAAAAAACTTCGTATAAATATACATATGAAAATATAAAAATATAAATATATATATATATATATATATATATATATATATATATATATATATATATTATGTTTAGAATCATACAAATAAGCGTAAGTACTAGTCATATATAAATATACACTTAGATAAGGATGTAAGGAACAATCAACAGAAAGTATCAGATAGATATATATGAACAGACTTAGAAAGATAGATAGGTAGATAGATAGATATGAACAGGCATAGAAAGAAAGAAAGAAAGAAAGAAAGAATGAGAGACACTATAATTCATAGATTGTGAAATACACAGGGATTAAAGCAAGTTTACCCGGTATGTGAAGCGATTTAATTCGATAGTATTTTATCATGTCTTTGATCTATTCCTACATGAAAATTCGGCCGGATTCTTCAGATAATTAGTCCCAACGCGAAAATGGAAATGACAATTCTTATTCTCATTCTTCACCACTTGCTTTAATGAAAGACACGTTGATGATACATGCATGCATACACATACACATGCAGACACAAACTTATATATATATATATATATATATATATATATATATATATATTTCGCAGAGAAATATGTAGAAATATGAATGTATATACTTATATACATATGCTGAGAACAAGATCATATAAATATGCAGTAGTATTTAGATCCATATGAATATTAATACCAAGTAATATGCTCTACTGTTTCGCTGATTTCCACAAGTAAGTTCACCATAGTTCAATACTGAGTTGAACCATTAATCTACCACCACAGTTGATTTGTTGTCCAGGGAATGGATGAATGGAAATCTTTTGGCGCAATGTCCAGGGAGTAAAGCGAATGGTGCAGTGTTTCCCACCGAAATTGCCGTATGAGTTCATTGGCCACCTGCGACCCACAAAGCCTGCTTTTGTCATGGAGGAAGAATACACTCTTGCGATAAACCAATGATGGTTCCTTCTGCATCAGAGTCTGTTGCACACGTTCCAATTACATGCTACGAGTACATGTCCGCATTCATCTTGCTTGGTTGTAGCGGTGATCTTGTGGTCTGAGGCACAGGGTCCCTAGGTGATAACCAATGTCTGGCACGCTTGTGAATATAATACAGGACCCACTTTTCGTTACTGATGAGCACTCAATCAAATATGGGTACGTTACGGTGTCGAGGAAGCAATGAGAAACAGGTTGTCACTCATTGTTGTTTGTTTCCGACAGTCTGTGGGGTACCCTTTTGCTCAATTGTAAGCCTTCCCTATGTGGTACAAGTCTGACTGGTTCATCAGAAACCTGGAAGCATTCGGCTAGCTCACCAAAGGTTTGGCGGTTGTCCTCCTCTACTGTCGCCTTCAGAATCTCATCATTCAGGACCTGTGGACATCCACTGAGGGGGTTCATTACAATGGGACATATCTCCTGACCTGGACTCCTGGACTTCTGGAACAAATTCCTGGCAGCATGTTCACCCACAGCATTATTCCATTTAATTGCCGTATTCTTCTGATTTGATGCGGCTTCGGACAATCCCACCGCAAAGTCATAAACAGAAAACCTGGAACGAGCTGCTTCGACAAGGACAATTCTCGTGCTACGACTGATGTGTGTGAGCAACGCAACTGCATTAGTCACGAGCAAACTCCCCACCCAACCGATTTCCTGGAATGAGACACACACATTTACGTATCATTGATCACTTCTCACACAATGCAATAAAACGGCAAGAATATTTTTGGTTATCTTATATATATATATATATATATATATATATGTGTGTGTGTGTGTGTGTGTGTGAAAGTGTGTGTGTGTGTTTTGGTCAATTAGTCTAATTTTGAGTACTTTGCTGTACTGAGCATTTTTTTAGGTTTATATATATATATATATATATATATATATATATATATATATATATATATCACTACCAGTAGAGCCCGGCGTTGCACGGGGATGTAGCAGTAAGAGATAGATCAAGTATCGACCATCATAAAGACTGAAAAAATAAAATTGACAAAGATTATTGTTTAAGGTTGACGGACACGCATGTCTTAATTAGTTTTTTTTATGTTTGTTTTTTCTTTTTTACGAATTGGTCAAACCCAAACTCAAACAACAACATTGTTTTAAATCGTTATGAGTCTATCGATTGAATAGAATTTTATTATAAACAATTGTCTTGTAAATGGAATTTTTAAAGCATTCTGAATGTAAAATAAAAAAAAGTGTGCAAGACAAGAAACACTACCTGCCAAAAGAAAGTGAAGTTTTGTTGAAATCGGTTGAAAAATGTAGGAAATCCGATCCCATATAAACGAACACACACACACACACACACACGCACAAACCACCTGGGTTTTATAATAAGTATAACTCGATATGAGTTGTCACCCTTTCATTCTCGTGATGCCTCTTAATCGTGTTTTCAAATTGATTTCGTGCAAAAACAATTGTGTTTTTCCATTTTTAGGCGCTGTCAGAACCACCACAAGGTAATTTTACGTAGTCCTGTGAAGTTTTGTTGAAATCGGTTGAAAATGTAGAAAATCCGATACAATATATAAAACACACACACACACACACACACACACACACACACACACACACACAATCTGCGTTTTATAATAAGCAAGATTCTGGTAAAATATAATGCAAATTATTAGCCATGTAAATATAAACAGAGTAGTCAGAGTAGATTTGTAAATCTCGACCAAATTGTTAGCGATAACCGCAACTATACGAAATACTTTGAAGTATTCAACACTTTCTTTCCAGTATTGGATAAGTGAAGAAACCTGTCTATATTTCTGTCATGACGTATTGTAATTGTTTACACTATTTATATTGTTTGGCCAGGTATTGAATTCAAAAAGATCTAGAACAATCTACCCCGGTGGACGAAATAAAGGGTTTGGTTCGAAATTCCAAAGTATATCACCTGAAGAAGGCCGGTGCGTACAACGACCGAAACATCGCGAATATGACAATAAACATGGGGACAATAGTCCGAACAATGTGAAAATTGTAAATAAATTATGTTTCTAGTCCATTGTTATGCAACATCAATACCGTGTGCCACCAAAAGAATCACGATCCAAAATGTTTATTCGTGATATTGCTGTTTAATCTTGAAATACCGAGGCCAGGTGAAAGGTGGTCCGTGTTAATGAACAAAATACGCTCCTGCAGAAGATTTGCAAGAAAAGAATAGAAAAGAAAATCAAAGAACAGACTAATTATCTTTGTTGTTTTGTCCTTCAAAGAACCAATCTTATGAATATTCATTTGTTCGTATATCTTGATGAGAAAGCGAAGTGACATGATGAAAGAGACGTCCTGTCGATTCCGCCTGTTTGTAGAACGAAAATAGCCTTTGTTTTCGCCGTTGTCTATTAACCGCAGACGAAAGCAAACATTGGGACAGGCTCTGAATTTAGAACTATTCCAGGGATGAAGATATTGATTGCAGTTTGTAACCGAATTTATTTCTTTATGAAAGGGATTGTATTCGACCGGACTGACAGACGCGTATTATTATTATTATTATTATTATTTGTGGCATCATCTTGCCAGAGAGTAATTTTAAGTACCTAATTGCCAAGTCCACTCCGATGTCTATAAGTCAAGAAAAGGGCACTGTAGGAGAGTTATCTATGCACATTTGGAACGTTTCGTTTAGCCAGAGAGGGTTTTGCGTATGATATGTGCAGGTCCGCGCAAAGTAATCTTTTGTAGCTCTGAGATGCTGATGTGTCCAGGAATTTTACTCCCATAATTTTAGATTCCTTCCTTTGGAATACTTAATTCGACAATCACAACAGGGATCCTGGGAGTTTCAAGTCCCCAAGTTTTTGTTAGTTGATTTGCAGATCCTTATAAGTTGACAATTTTCGAAACATGCTTGCTGACTAAGTGCTAAGCGTAACTTAGATGTCGTACAAAACCGAAGGTAGGGAGAACCCTGTGAGGATCGAACTCACTACTCAGTCGTAATTGATCTTGAGAAACTACGTTTCTGCTATACCATGTCGAAGTTCCCAAAATCGTTTGTGTAGGGTGGAAGATATATATATATATATATATATATATATATATATATATATATATATATATATATATATGCAGTACTTATTGGAAAGTGCTCAATATAAGTGATAGAGCTAACATTCAGTTTTCAGATAAGACGTTTAGCCATCTTGACACCACTTGTAAGAATCACTGAAAAACCCTTTGAGTTATTCAGCTAGAAAGCAAACAGATTAAAATCTTTTAGTGTCAGCTTCCCAACTGGACAATGGTGAGAGGAAAAAATCATTTAGGCCTTCAGTAATGGTACCAACATTCATACTCTGGCTTCCAACTTCAAATTCCATTCCAACATCATCAAGAGAACGATGAAAAAAGTTAAAAAAAAACAAAAAAAAAACTGGAACAACAGAGAGAAGAACTGGCTCAGGAGGTCAATACAGCAAGAGGATTCATCATTTCAGCTGGGACCTAAATAAATTCTTATTGTTTAAATTAGAATCCAATAGTGTTATAAAAACTTCGGAGAATTCCGGTAAGATATATTTAATCATTTCTAAAATACAATGGTTCAAAGTTAATCTAACAATTAAACAATTTTGGTATTATACGATTTGGGCAGTTTTTCTGCTACACCCGGTATATATATATATATATATATATATATATATATATATATATATATATATATATGTATGTGTGTGTGTGTGTGCAGAGAGAGAACGAGAGAGAGTTATTTACTAAGCGAAACTTAGATATTTCACTAGGCTGAACGTATAGAGTACCTTGTTGTGGCACCATTTACGAGGCAGAGAAAGGAAGAGAAAGAAAAGAAGGCAGAAAGAAATGCGAGATGATTCATAGGTGATAAGCAGACACACACACGGCTAAGAGACAATGAAAATATTGATAAGTAACAAATGAAAAAGGGTGTCATTACAATGACAGGGAATTTCTGAGTAAAAAAGAAAAGGAAAAGAAAGAAGGAACCAGATGTGTTTTGATAGCGGCTGTGTTATCTAGACCACTGGCCAGGGAAAAATTCAAGTGAAAATGCTATTTCGATAAGTGACGAGAAACAGGCCACTAAAAAGGACTTTGGACAGATATAAAAAATTAAATCCCACACAAGCAGTGCTCTGACCGAATTCTTTTCGACGAAACAACTTTGGCCGGCGATAATAAAATTATGGGGAACCAGAATTGTTTTTCTTTCTTCCTTGGAGGCGACAAACTGACTGAAAACTTTGGGGATATTTCTTTTTT